GGCACTAGGAGGGTGGCAAGGCATGGCGGCACTGGGCAGCCTGCCAGCTTGAGGCTCCTCGGCCCCACTCTTGCAGGCAGTGGGGAGATGAGAGCAGGGAGGTGCTGGTGCCGATGAGCCTGTGCAGGTCTTTGGGTCCATCCCTAGCAGAGAGCTCGGTGCTGGGTGCGGATCGGGCATCCCTGCAAAGGTGTGGGAGCTTCACACCCATCCTCTGCGGCAGCCGTGGGTTAGGGTCCCTATGGCAGTGTGGGGGAAAAAACGGGGCCGCGACCGGCGGGCACCCGCCCATGTCCTGCCTGCCCCGAGCTGTGTCAGCAGTGGGAGCCATGCTGCAGTCTGTCTATCTTGCTGTCCACCTACCAGGGCCGCGGCAGTCCACTGCTCCCTCCTGGAGCTGCTGCCACCAGGGCTGGAACATGGCAGCTCCCAGCCAGGGGCCCTTCCCGCTCCTAACACTGTCTCTTGCTGCTTGCTCCTGCAGACGTGAGTAACGATGAACTGGGCTGGCCTGTACACGGTGCTGAGCGGGGTGAACCGCCACTCCACCGCCATCGGGCGCATCTGGCTCTCTGTCATCTTCATCTTCCGGATAATGGTGCTGGTGGTGGCAGCAGAGAGCGTGTGGGGGGATGAGAAGTCTGCCTTCACCTGCAACACCCAGCAGCCTGGCTGCAACAGTGTTTGCTATGACCACTTCTTCCCTATCTCCCATATCCGTCTGTGGGCCCTGCAGCTCATCCTTGTCACCACGCCAGCCCTCCTCGTGGCCATGCACGTGGCCTACCAGCAGCATCAGGAAAAGAAGCTGCTGGTGCTGACGGGGCATGCAGATCCCAAGCACATGGAGGAGGTGAAGAAGCACAAGATGCGCATATCGGGTTCACTGTGGTGGACATATGTCTGCAGTGTGGTCTTCAGGCTGCTCTTTGAGGCTGTGTTTATGTACATCTTCTACATGCTCTACCCGGGCTACCAGATGATGCGGCTGGTCAAGTGCGAGGCTTACCCCTGCCCCAACACCGTTGACTGCTTCATCTCCCGGCCCACAGAGAAGACCATCTTCACCGTTTTCATGCTGGTCACCTCCAGCATCTGCATTGTCCTCAACATGGCGGAGCTGGTCTACCTGGTGGTGAGGGCCTGTGCTCGCCGAGGCCAGCACAACTCCAACCCCTCGTCAGGGAAGGGCTCCTTCTATGGGCACAAGCTCTCCTCTGAGTACAAGCAGAACGAGATCAACCAGCTGTTGACGGAGCAGGACGGCTCCCTCAAGGACATGCTGCGCCGCAACCCCGGGCTGCAGGAGAAGGGCGACCGCTGCTCTGCCTGCTAGGGCTAGCATTGCGGAGGCCCCAGCCCTTGCCCCTGCCCCAGAGCTGCCCCATGGCCCTGTGCTGCCCCTGTCCCTGAGGAACAGCATCCCTCAGGTGCCGGTCCAGCCCTTCTGGATGTCCAGGAAGGCATCTGGGGCCATTAAATCTCCATTCTCAGGCACTGCCTCCTTCCTTTCTACTCTGGATGGGACATGCCAGAGGCTTGGGTGCCAGTGTAGAGTGCCTGCCCCTGCACCCTGGCCTAGATGCCCCCCAGGGGCTGTGCATGCTGCAGTGCCCAGGTTGGGCCATGGCCATGGTGCCCTGGCAGCTATCATGCAGGAGCAAGTGACCCCTGGGTGGCATTGAGCAGTGTCCAAGGGCTCACGCTCCTCCAGCACCAGCCCCTGCAGCCCCGAATATATTTAGAAAAGTGCCCAGACCAAAAATAGAGGTAAAATGTTTCTGCAGTGGCTGGTTCATCTGCCAGTCACTGTGAAAGCCACCAATGGGGCACGCTGCCTCATGCCCCCATAACCCTGCACCTATCAAGAGCCAGGCAGACCCAGGCAGACCCATCTGCATCCCACCGAGGAGCCAGGGACCAGCTGGGAAGAGGCCTTGCAGCACCCACGCCACCTTGCCAAGGGGAGCCAACAGCACGGGAGCAGTGGGCTCTGCCCCACGTGCCGGCCAACGGTGAGGGTCCCCATGCCGCACTGCCACCGCGGTGCTCCCCGTGGTGCTCCCAGCTTGGCAGGGCTGCTTTCTGCCATAGGTCTTTGCTCCTGCTGCCCTCCCCACGACAGGTTAGAGGGTCCCATGGGATGTAGGGTGAGGAGAACCCAGGGGCAGCCTTGGGTCAGGTCCCTGCACATCTGC